CCCCCCCTAAAAACAGTTAAATAAAGAAAAAACAATATATCCTCATGCAAGAACTTTTCTGCTTCCGATTACCCCCATGCTTACAAGTTGCAAAAGAAACACGGAAGCAGGGAAGCGGCTGCCCAGCTCCGGAGCTCCACACCATTTTTCTTTCAGAGGGAATCTCACTTGAGTATAAGCCAAGGGGGGTTTTTTCAGCACAAAAAATGTGCTGAAAAACTCGGCTTATACTCAAGTCAATAAGTTTTCCCAGTTTTTTGTGGCAAAATTAGGTGCCTCGGCTTATATTCGGGTCGACTTATACTCGAGTATATACGGTAGTTTTTATATATTTCAAGAGTAAGACTCTCCATATCAGTTTTCTCCATTCCAACAATGCAACCTGACAGGAATTGCATCATTATTTTAACATTAAATTTAATTTGTGAACTATCCATGATGGGTAGATAATAAGATCACCCCTTCTTCTCCCACCCCACCCTCCAATATCTGGCACTAATTAAGCACTTTTAGATCAGATTATCGAGGGGAAATTATTTGTAGCTGCACATAGGTTCTTTTCCCAAAGTTCTCTATAATTAATTATTATCCAGACCCAAATTCTATATACATGCTATTGTTCCTACTCCAGCATGGAAAAAAAGCATTGAATATAAAACAAATAGGGTGCCAATACTTCCTTTTTTGTGTGAAATCTGCCTTTTTTCCCTATCCCTGCTTAAAGTAAGCACAACATACATCATTTGAAATACTAATTGTCTATTAAATTTAACACTTAGGAATTGGATTTTGAGTATCCTCAATCATTTTCTTATTACTTTGCAGTTAGCTCCAGCATTTAAACAACCCCAAATATTTATGAGTATAGTATACACATACAACGTTTGTGTGTTCATAATCCAATAGATTAAGCGTTATATACATAGGATGAGGTTTATAGCTGAAATATCTGAAACATGTTACTTGATGCTGTTTTAAATCTTACTATACTCTCATCCTTATGATGAGTTCAGTTTGATTGACTGAACAGGTTGTAGAATTAACATTGCTGCCAAATAGACACAAACAGTACATCTTCATGCTGCAGAATATTATTATCCTGAACATAAATTTCTCAACTTGTAAGTACTAGTATTTCCTTGTTTTCTGCAGTATTCCTCATAGAGGCTAAGGCCAATTCTGTCTTAAAAAGATACCCACGGACTAATGGACTTTTGGAAGAACTTAAAAAAGGAAACATTGAGCGTGAATGTTATGAAGAACGCTGTGATAAAGAAGAGGCAAGAGAAGCATTTGAAAATGATGAAAAAACAGTAAGTTACCTACTAAAAATATAAAATATTCTTTACATATTTATTTAATATTTTTCCATATAATACATGATACTACATTAGAACTATAGCATGCTTTGTGTTGTCATCTTAAAGAATGAGGCTAGAAAATAATTACTAAATATAAAACTTTAGATTTTGCATCTACATGATCTTAACTCCTTTTTGCTGAATCATTCCAGAATGATCTTTCAGTAGGCTTATAAGATTTCATCATGTGACTTTTTATTCAGCTATTTTTATTATAACATGAACAAGTTGAATTTCTAGGGATCCCAAATTTAAATTCCTCCCTTTAGAGATTAATTTGTAAAAAGGAACTAGTTTTTTCTTTGTTCTGTCTTGTTTTCTTTATTTCAAATGCTTCTATTCTACTTGTCATTCAAACACACTGCAATTAACTAAATACAAAATCAAAGCTAATGGCAAACAACCATAATTATAGTACCAGTAGGTAAAAAATGATTATAATAACACATAATTAACTTTTTTAGGCAGAATTTTGGAAAGACTACACCAATGGACTCTATGGAGGAAGTAACGCAGGACAGAACTGGTACCCATTTTACCTAACGTTTCCTCTAGTCATTGGCCTTTTGGTGGTGGTTCTTATTATATTTGTCACATGGAGATGCCTGTTCCAAAAAACCCCACATGGACAGTCCATGTACACCCAGAGCAGAAACAGGGAAGATATAGGCGACAGAGCCATTCCTGATCGGAGAAATCCCATCCCTCAGTCATTCAGCGTTCTTCATTCTCCCCAAGAAGAAATATTTGAAGGCAGTGGACACTTCCCAAGGTACTTGAGCTACACAGAGAGACCTATGGATTTCTTATCAATCAGGTTGTCAAACTGTGAACCACCACCATCCTATGAGGAAGTTACTGGTGAAAGTAGCACACAGAGAAATGAATTTGCAAATCATTTGGATCTGCCTCCTCAGTATGAGGACATTGTGAATAGCATTTCAGTACTTCATGTTAATGTCAAATGAATGATGAATGATGAAATGCTCCCTTTGTAGAAACAAATGAACCCTAACACTTTTTAGCACTTTATTATAGCTTGGTGTTTCAAAGATTTCTACTGTATTATGCCAATTCTTATTCTATAACTTTGGTTTATTCTGTGAGAATCCCTACATTTGGGAAACAAAATAGACTTCAGCGTGACTATATATTAACACTAGGCATGGCATTATTGTCATGGCATACTTTTTCTACTATTGAAAGTAGTGCTAATAAATAGCTCAATTATAAAAATTGATTGTTTAAGCAGATGGCAACACAAGACTGACTTTATCTAGGTTCAGAAATTAGGGAAAATTGGTCTTGATTTCTATTTCAATGGGGAAACCTCCCAGGAATAGCAGGACTGTAGACTAAACTACGAAGTCAAGAAAAGATCTTGAAGGCAAAGGGTGAACCACTTCTGTATTGCTGTCAAGAAAACTATATAAATGTATCCATGAAATTGGAAGTCAAGTTTGGCTTGAAAAAGACTTAACCTTGAACAAAATAGATACAGTAAGAAATGTTGACAATTTCCCCCTCAAAATAAGTATTTTTGGAATCCTTGTATAGCAAAAACGAGCAAATCATTTAGTAGGAATAGTCAGGTTTGTCTCTAAAATCTACTTGTTACAATGAACACTAATTAAAACTATGTTGATGATTAACTATATTTAAGCACATGTATTTTGATTGTTCAGAAGAGTATTAATGACGTTTTGTGATGCTTTGATCTATATTTCCATTTGTAAGCACCTTAAAGACTATGATTCTGGAGACCCACCATATTCTGTTTTGACTGGCAGCTAATGACAACAGCTTTTCTTCAGTCGTTTGTGCACTGAGTATAAAAGCTTGTAGAAGCATAATCACACGGGTTTGCACCTCAGTAAGGGCTATAACATCTTTATTTTTCCCAATAAAGCTTTCTTCCATAATCATTTACATAAAACAAGTGAATCCTTTAGGCAGCCAGTGTCATTGGAATGACATCAGCCAATAAAATAATAACTCATCCAGTTTAAATAAGGCCTGAACAGAGTTAGTAATCAGTATTAATATAATTTTCCTTTGTGTAATAACAATATACTACAGCAGGGGTGTCAAACTCAAGGTCTGCAGGCCACATCTGGCCCGCAATGTGATTAGATTTGGCCCATGGGGCTGCCCTGGAAACAGCAAAGGACCAGGCCAGCCGAACGCTGATCTACAACATGGTGGTGGCCATCCAGGCTGGAATGTAGTAGGCCTTAGATCCTGAAGCCTATGATGACCCACCCCCATCCTGCTCCCTGGGCATGCACAGAGGATGCATTGGGCACGCATGGAGTATGTTGAAGTAATTCCCCGTTAGGAGAATGAGCACATACAGGGAGACGTATTTGAGAGAAGTGTTTGAATAATACACACAGAGCACACAGATACACTGTACAATAAATGTAGGTTTTTACTTCCAGAAACGTTAAGCAAAGTCCAAAATAAGCAGTCTAAAAGTCATTCACAGGTTAAATCAGTCAGTTTTCATCCAGGGATAATCCAAATATCAAATTCCAGTGTCAAAAACAGTTCAGTATCAGACTTACATTAAATCCAGCAATATCAGTCAATTAGGAAAAATGGAGGAACGGCAATACTTTCCAACAGAAGGAAACAGAGATACTCTCTCAGACACACTCTCTTCTGAGACTAAGACCAAACAACCCAGGTTTCTGGCTCCATCTTATGGCAGTTTGAGAAACCACACCTAATTACAGTTTTGCATTTTCTTAAAGTTACAGTTTTAAAATGTTTATCCTGGTTTATATATTTCTAACCCAAATAGCTGTTAGGTGACTCATATTCCTAACAGAGTCTCATGTTCCTGGGGACTGTCTTGCCTTGCAGGCTGACTGAGTGCTTCCCTTTCATCCAGGAGGCATGTGCTCACCACTTCCTGTGTTCATGCCCAGGGGTATGGCCAAGGTGGTCTCTCACTGGCCATGTGGGTTGGATCTAAGGCAGATGTCAGCTTTGGAAGCCATATTAGCACCAGACGCTTCCACACTGCCACATTCTTGGGCCTGGGAAAATGGAAGGGGGGAATTTCTTGGAGTGCATATAGTTAGACATAATAGCATTCTTCTAAGTCAAGGTCATGTTATTTCAGCATCTGGTTGAGGAGTGATTGGGGGACGTCTCAAGTTGGGGCGGATGGTGATTAGGGCATGTGATGCAATGAGGGGTGCAGGGGGTGGATCTGTAATATTTTACTTATTGAAGGGAAACCCGGAACTTTCAGATTCAGGATTTCCCAGATGTGCCAGTTTGCTACTCTAATAAGAGGAACTTTTGAGAAGATGTCTGTCTTGGAGTTATTTGTTGGAGTTGAGGTTTTCTGGAATGCTGACATTATCCCGAATCTCTAAATACTTATCAGCACCCCGAAAGGGAGCTGTCTGGGGTGCTGAGCCCCAGTACCGACCTAAAGCTCTGGCGGTGCAAAGACTCAATGAAGATGGAGAAGGAGGAGATCACAGAAGGAGCAATGGGAACAGATACCGGAGGACGGTTCGAGACCCGATATCCTTCTTCTGAAGGATTTGTGCAAGCCATTGAAGCTGCAGAGGAGAGACGAAGGCTAGGCTTGGCCCAAGGAAATGGATTCTTGGAAAAGTTGCCAGACTGATCTAAATCCAGAGATGGGACTGGAGGAGAAGCTGCCTGAACACTTTCCTACTCCAGCCCAATGAAGTCAGGCCAGAATGGAGCTTTGGGGTCCGACAACTCCCGAGACTGGAACCTGTTGCCTCCATCTCAAAGCCAATCATTGGTAGGGCTCCAGGAGCACTTCGAGCAACTTGATGTGGGAAGTTATGTCCCACAGTCCCAATCTCCTGGACCGAAATGGAACTTAATGCAACCCACATTCACTTTTCTTGATTTAGGGCCTGGCACTGATGTCAGTGGTGATGATGTCACATGATGTCACATGGTGTCAGCAACATTCCCCTTGGCTAGAGACCGAAGAATTGGCTCAGCATAGCAGGGGCAAGCAGCAGGGGGGAAACAGCAGATGCAGCTAGCATTTGGGATGCTGCAACCTCCAATTGTGCTCTCCTCATCCATCAGCCTTTATACTACCCCCTGCGGAATGTATTCACCCAGGCTGAGGATTCTATCCTGGTTGTGGCTGGGTCCAATGCCAGTGAATGCCAGCACCAGTTGCACCACCTGGTTCGGGACCAACTATGGGGTCAATTTGCAGCAACAATCCTGGCACAGCAATGGGGTCAGATCCAACAGCAGGCTGCAACCATCCCTCCTTTTCCAGCACAGCAACCAGTTCAGCGGATGGCCCCTATTCAGCAGTGAGCAGCAGCAGCACAGCAGATTCCAGCTCTGCTGCCGCCTGCCACTCCACCGCCCCTTGCAGCACCCCTGCAGGGGCCCCTCCTGCCACCCACAGCAGTGCCCCCACAGATTCCAGCTCAGCTGGTGGTTGCTATGGGGATTCCACCAGTGAAACCAGCACCACCAAGGTTTAGAGCAACCTTTGATGGGAAACGTAAAACCTTGTTTATTTCCTCAGTCAAATCTGGGCACATATAGATCAATATGGAAACCAATATGAAACATAGTGCAACCTAGTTTCTGCAATTACCAATGGGATGAATAAAGGAGATGCTTCCACCTGGATAGCCCAGTTACACAATGAGGAAGCTGCAGAGGTAAATGATGCAAATGGATTTGTTGAGCTGCTCCGGGCTAGATTTGAAGACCCTGACAGAGTAGGTGAAAATGAAGACAAAATAAATGAGATGAAGCAAGGTAATCAACCCATAAAAGACTTCTTTATGGGACTTTAGACAGGTTGCAGGAAACCTCATGCATTTGGCCTGACAGGATACTTCTGCACTATTTTAAAGAAGCCATTGATCCAGAAGTCAGAAAAGCCTGTGGCATCTGAGAGGTACCAGAGCAACTGCAAGACCAATATGCCATGTCCATTGTTCTGGATAAAGAAATTCACCCACACCAAAAACCTCCCTCTGAGAGGCCCCTCTGAGAACTTTGGCCAGATGCCCTCTGACTAAACCTGTTTTAGTTGCTCCTGCCAAAGCTACATGAATTATCAAATGCTACCATTGTGGTTAAGCTGGTCGTCAGGTTCCAAATGTCTGGCCCCTGCACCAGTCCCACAACTGTACAGCTGCCAGTGGCAGGAGAGCTCCACAGAAGCCCCCAGACATCAGTCGGTTTGCCAGACAAGTTGTAGAGGTTCTCCTCCCCACAGAAAAGAGCGAGGAACCTCCGGCCAAAAAAACCCTTTCCGGAAAGGCAAATGATGAAGTGGACCCCATGGTGAGTGCAGCCATCCCCCCTTTTACAATCAAAGTGAAGTTGGTGGTGCCTGAAACTGGGGAGTTTGGAGAGTTAGAAGCAGTGATACAGGATGTTCCAGATGTCTAATTGGACTCCCTATCATTGAGCAATTAGGGATAAAGCTAGAGCCCTAAAATGCCCCAACAAGTTTGAACAGGTAGATGGAATGTTAATTGGAGGAGCTCCCACCACCCAGATTACAGAATTGAAGGCGTTGTGGAAGGCATTGTGAACTCATACGATTTATAGTAGCTCCAAAAATGTCAGAACCTGTCATATTGGGACTTGTTGGCTAGACAAAAGGTGCCCCACCATTAAATGCGAAGATAGGTACCAGAAAATCATAATTGGTGTCGCCCGCTATGGTATTTCTTGATTTTGTCCCACCATACTTGAATGAGTGCATTCCTGATCTGATGTCTTTGAAAGTAGATGTGTTGTTTATTTTTCCCTTCCCATAGGAAACTATGCCACCCTCTTTACAGGTCGTGTTCTTCTATTAATAATATCCTTTTGTTCTCTAGGTAAATCCAATCTCTTATCCATACCATAGCTGCCGCCTGATAGTATGTCTCCCAATCTGAAAGTCCAAAGCCACTTCTCTCTTTTATCCTGCAACAATTTCATTTTAATTCTAGGTTTTTTTCCTAGCCCAAACAAATTTAACTATTATTTTATTTAATCCCCTGAAAAATGTTTTGCCTAATTTTACCGGTATAGTTTGGAATAGATATAGTTTTTTTTAGTAGTACAGTTATTTTAACTGCCGTAATTCTTTCCATTAATGAAATTTGGGGGACTTCCGGTGGGGAAGCCAAGGTGGAGCAGGTGGAAAAAGAACGGTCTTCGAGCCCAATTGTCTCACATTTGGGACTCTTAGGGGATGCAGTAAGCCTGGAGAGCAAAGTGGACTAGAGGAGAAGCCCGGGGAGAGGGACTGAGAAGCGGGCACTGCTGGAGACAGAAACAAAAGGACTGAGTGGGGAAGGTGATTGGAGTTGGTGCAGAGAGAAGGGGAGATTGGTGTTTGGATTGGCGGAAGGAAAAGACAATTGGAGAGTGTTGGAGAAAGAACTCGGTGGCCCAGACAGACAGTGAAAGAAGGAAGAAAAAGGAATGTGGATTGTGAACTGGGGCTAGCAAAGCAGAGGAAGAACCAAGTTGGGGTCGGAGACACGCTGGAATGGTGAAATAGGAGCGAGTGGCTGGAGGCTTGAGGAAAAAAAGAGGACATTTTGAAATAGAAGCTGAAATAGACGGAAGAGTGCGTGAGCGGAATTTAGAAAAAAACAACAGCATGCAGAAGGAGCCGAGAGGCTGGAAAGCAGATTGTAAACTGGCAAGTAGAGACAGTTGAAAGGGAAGTGAATATTGCTGTGAGAAGAAAGGACTAGACTGAAAAGAAAAAACTAAAAAATGGGAAA